AACAGGTTACAGCTAGAAATGCACAGATACCGTTTTTTCGGTATCTGGTACGAGTACCGATATTCTTTATTCCAGTAATCGCTGATACCGAATAACGATACCAAAAGTCCTATTAAGGAAGCCGGGCGGCGTGTAATGACTCGACTTCCTGATTTGCCAAGAAGCAGTCTCCAATGACTCACCGCCTAGCTTCCTGATTGGCCAGCTTCCTAACGAATCAGGAGCCTGGGCGGCAAGTCATTACATGGTGCACGGCTTCCTGATGAGCTGGCTTTCCGGCCAGATTTCTACCTTGTGACCAGGTGACGAGAAAGCATGGAGCTGGCTTTCTGGCCCAGAGGAAGCCGGGGGTAGGGTAATGACTTGCCACCCAGCTTCCTGATTGGACAGAAAGTCGGCTCAATGGTGCCTGGTGACAAGGGAGCATGGAGCCAGTTTCCCGGCCAATCAGGAAGCTGGGCGGAGTGTAATGACTCGCCACCCGGCTTCCTGATAGCAGATGTTCTGGTATTGGGATGGGCCTCAGGAGCATTTGGGCGCCCAAATACCCGGTATTGGCACAGATACTGATATTAGTATCGCTATGAGGACATCCCAAGTTACAGCAGTCACATATACATGAATGAAGTGCCTACGACACTTTATTAATATAAGGTCAACTGTGTAGTTCACATGACAATTCATTTATCCGCCCATGTCCAAGTCCCGAGTCCCCACTGCTGAAGCTCTGACTCTTAAACGCTATGCCTTGTTTTGCCTAGTGCATTGTGACTGGTGTAGGAAGATGTAATGTGCAGGAAGATGTAAGATGTGCTATGTACAGCTTCCACGAACAGCTACAGATGCCCAGCGTATTAATTATAAGGTAGAATGAAAAAGGAAAGAGGAAAAAATACAAATAATAACTGGGGATGTGTCATACCGACCAAAAAAAAAAAAAATCACAGAGCTAAGATTTTGCACAACAGAGGATGATGGGTGGGGGAAAGAGAACAGTTGTGCATGAAAAAAATGTATGCAGAAAAACAATAGTAAAATGGATTGGAGTATTAAGATAAAGAGAAATAAGGAAAGGAGTGTTATAGAGAACAACAACAAAAGAAAACACGTGTTAATTAACAATGGTGTCGCAGAACAATGATTCTGCTTCAGACCTGATATATTTTGCGTCAATAAAAAGTAAAATTATTAAAATATCCATTCATCTATACACATGCACAACAGTCAATCCCACATACATTAGCTTCTTTTCCCACAAGTAAGATTGTCAGACTATCTTGAGTCCTGCTGGTAACATCCTCTGCATTATTAAAGCATTGCCTGGATGTAAGGGGATTAAACACTGCTGCATACATTATTTCAAAATATGTCTAACAAGTAGCTTCATTATCCTCTGCATTTTCACAAGTCCCTAAGATGTACAAACGCAGTATCTTTTTTTTTTTGCCAACAGCTGGGAAGGGCGAGCTCCTAGCCCATTCTTAGTGTTCACATTGTGTTACAGCCCCTCTCCCCCACTTCATTGTATTTCTGCAGAACAGAGGAGGGCCCTTCTCTTAAAGATCAATTCATATTTCCATAATCCATGCTTGTGCCTCTCCCCGAGGTGGGAGATGTCCCTCGTGTCTTGAGCTGCGTTCTACAACTGTCAATAAGTCCTGGTAACAATGGGCCTCAAACAAAAGGGCCTTGGCAGCCAAAAGAGCCTGTTTGGGGAGGGGGGATTCCTGGCTGGTGCCATATGCTGGTTAGACGTCCAAAAAATATCCTTCCAGCAAAAGAGAAGCCATTTCTTCCTCCTAATCCCCGACCTGATCTTTTAACCCTTCGATACAACAAAGACTATTTACTAACAAGGGATTCTGAATGGATTACACACAATTAACTGCACCACAAACAGTGACCTTACAAGATTACTTCTAACACATCCATAATTGTGAATCAAATATAAAACTATCCATTAAAAAATAGAAATCGTTTTTCTTGATTCTGTCTACTTCGATGATAAAGTGGCGACCATGATAATCAATGCCAGGACATTGTATTATTCTGTGGCAAGGACTAAGCCACCAGTTATTAGAACTATTTAAACACAGTGACTTTGTCTGATAATGTAATCATCTCGGCAATCAAAGTATCCACAAACACTTCACTTTCAAGAAATTAAGATGAAAACTAGGTAACAGGATTACCCCTTAAAGACCAATACAGATGTATCCATTAACCCCAGATTAAGTGGTAAAGACCCGTGTGTCTTCAATACAGATGTCACACGTGCCACAGTCAACAAAGCAGGTGAATTCGACGGTACGCAGACCTGGTACTCTGACGGGTACTAAAAAACAGACTCGCGATTCTGAAACATTTACTAACTGCACAACAGCACAGAGCCATTTTCCCCCCTGTATATGTTTTAAACTTACCACACACATTACAATCTTTATGCACAAACGTCTTTTGATCTACCAAAAACTGTAGTAGAAGGCCCTGCGTGATTGTATACAGATTCACACCATGTCAGCTAAGCTGCGTTTTTCTGCACACCACCTCTCATGCACAGTATGTACAGGGCACATAGGAAACAATCAATTTCTGCGTTTCCTGTATACATCATACACGTGCAGTGGTGAGCAGAAAAACGCACCACATTGGACCTGGTGTGAAGAAGCCCTAATTAGATAGATTAGGTAGGTCCTCATAATACATAGTTTCAGTGCAAAGTTTGCATGATCAGATGTATATGGTGACCCTAACACAACTTATTATTACAGTTTCACCTATGTACACAACTATTCTGACCAGCTGCTTACTATATATAATTAGTATATAAAAGACAAAAATTGTATTTTTATTTTTTATTTAGTTTTGCGTACCGTAGTGAGGGGTTAGATCCTCTGTGCAGTTTCTTTTTGTGTCCCTGTTAGGGAGATTAACTCTTATTTGTAATGACCAGCTGTTTATTATACAGTATTTAAAGTGTATCCAAAAGGAAAGTGTATCCAAAATGGAGTATTTTTATTTATTTAAAAGGAGAACTATGGGGAAAAACACTGACCCCATAGTTCTCCTTTAAGTTTGGGTATAGCAGTGAGGGGCTATATCCTCTGTGGAGTTTGCGTCTTTGTCCCCATTAGGGACATATACTCTATTTGTACTGGTGCCCACGGTCACCAGGACTGACACTGCGCCACAGCCTGGTCGAGTGCATTGCGGCCAGGAGGTGCATTTGTGGTGCCATTTAAATGAATGGCAATGCAAAACACCTGATGGATTGTAATGCATGGTATGTGCGCTCTGCGGTCCCATGCGCTAATCGCACTGAACCATGCAATTAATGCACGGCATTGGTGTGAACAAACCCTGTCGGAAAATCCACAATTTTGAGTTGCCACCAAAACAGGAAAGGGCGGCAAATCTTCAAATGGGTACACTTGTTGATGTGACAATGCTTTACAAAGGGATTTCTACCATTTTTACCATTACCTATTCAAAAATAAAAATAAAAAACGTTTTGGCTTCAGATTTACTTTGAGAAAAATCCTTCAGAACTTCTCACGACTAATAAGAAACACAGCCATCCAACACTCTCAGAAGTGATGAATGTTGGAGAGTCCATAGAGGCTGCAGTGATTCCAGTGATCGCAGGGTAAGTATGATATCTCTTTGCAAAGACCTCCTATGTAGATTTTTTGGGGTGATGACAGTGTCCCTATGATTTAATTGACCTTAAAGCGAAACTCTGGACTTTTTTTTGTTAAATACCCCCAGGGAGCAGCTCTGGATGCAATACTGGCTGATCCTGGCAGTAACTCTTCTTTGCCACAGTGTCATTTAACCCAGAACACTGAGGTAAGACTAAGTGCAGGATGCCATAGCCTTGTCCCTTGCGCACTGTGCATTGTACTCAGTGTATAAATGCAGAGAGTGGCATTGTTGTTGCTACATCATCCAGGACTACCGGCAAAAGATCAAAGAGGAAGAGGACAGCCAGAAGACTTAGGGAAAAAGGCAAAAAAAGCACAAGATACTATTGGTAGGAGCCTCAAGGGGGAAAGAAGGGGGCCAGCCCAGAGATTGGCTTAAAAATCTATTTTCAGGAAGGCTATGCAAATGAAGTGAACTGATAAAAATAAAAGCACAAAAATAAATTACACCTCTCATTGTCCCTTATTGATCTTAAATAGACACATACTGAATATGTACGAGTGTGAGTGTGTGTGTCAGTTCCTGAACAAAACTGATCCCTCTGTGCAAGTTTACACTTTATGAAATCTAAAATTTGCACAGGGCTAGCAACGTGACCCCTCTCCCACATGGAACATCACCTATGGGCATTGCACTGGTCTGGAGCGGCAAAGAAGTGTGAACTGAACACAAGTGCAATTGCTTTTCATTGTTTGGTGAAATAAATAGTTATCAAAATAGAATATTTAACATGAAGTCCTGACATTTCATAGGTTCCAGTCTACAGTTTTGCAAATATCTGTGTGGTTGCTGGGTTTGTGGCTTGCACTTGCTCTCTGATTACAACAGTACAAGAAATTAATAGATTAACAGATTATATTTAGTGATTATAATATCTGTTTTAAATCTTCTTTTAATAGTGGGATTTAAAAAAAAAATACAGATACACAGGTGGAAAGAAATGACCCTTTCAGCCTCATTTAATAAAAAAGTGCAAAGTTCAGTACCCGTAGCGATCATTTAAAATCCATCTTAATCTGACATCAGTGAATGCTGCTATGGGCTCCCGCACTTAAGCTTCATTCCTTGGAACGGTTTATTCTAATTATTTTGCCATGGATTTTGCTGGTGACACAATTTTATAACAAAGTCAAATTCAGCAATTTAAAAAGAAACAAAGTCAGTTATGTACTACACTCTGACTGGCTGCCCTGAGATTTTGCAAGTTGCGAAGGTCTGTACACATCATTACATCCAGCAGTGCTCACTTGGGCTTTAATGTTAACAAAATCAAACCTCCTTGTGATGTTACTGACCTGGTCAGAGAAATCCTCCGGGAACTTCCACAGTAAGGCAGGGTCTGTAAATAATTGACACAAAGCATTAAATCAGAGGAGGGAGGACAGAATGCAACCACTAGAGGCATCAATGCTGACATTTCCCCACCAAAAGCAATGAAAATTCATAAAAGGAATATTCCATACATTTCTCTGGATTTAAAGCCATTAATGTAGAACTATACATATGACAAACAATTTACCTTGTTGGTACCATATTTTTTAACCACTTCAGCTCTCACACCTATATATCCCATATGGGCCGGAGCAATTTGTACATTTTTGCTATGGGCCTGTTTTTTTGGTAATAATGTTGGCATTACTTAACCAGATGAGGACCTTGGGCGTGCTAAACTTTATTGAAGTACAAAGTAACAGTCCTTCTTTCTTGATGCTTCTCCCCCTAACACTTGCCAGCAATTCCCAGCTGTCAAAATGACAGCCAGAAGTTGCTGTGTAAATACGGCAGATATAGAAGCTGCAGACTGTCTGGCGAAGTGTTTATACATACTGTTCAGGCTGGAGATTGAGAGATATAAAATTAACAATGTTAATTTGTATTTCATCTGTTTCATTCATCAGCAGAGCAAAGAAATTAGCTTAATTCTGCAGATGATGACAGTTAAAGCAATCTGGCACATTAAAAAATGTTTTTCTTTAAATAAAATATTAGTTCTTCTTTAACCGCTATAAACCCTTATTGCATCAACCCTGAATGAATCCTTCTTCCCCTTCTTCCTTTAAATTATTATTTTCCTGACGGTTGTTTTTTTTACATGTTACACGTTTACACGTTTTTTTCGTTTTTGTTTTGTTCTATCTTTTTTTAGTATCACATAAACGAGTGTAAAATAAAATTAAAAAAACAAAACAAAACCCTTTTTTACTCTGTAAATAATGTTACAATGCTTTGTACCAGAATAATATTTTAGTGTCATTTTAAACAGGACAAAATATAGGATAAAATGTATACACTTTATTTCAGTAACAATACTTTCTCCCATACTTGGAGAGTCCAAAAATATATGTACAGTTTGTCTAAGAAATTCCCTATCAAGAGTAAAATGTTTCTGATCATCATCAGAAAGAAGCCATGACCGACTACAATAAAGATCCAAGTCTTTACAGAGGGACTGTTCTAGAACTCATGATACAGGGAAGGTGTTAACATAAGCTGAAAAAGACCCTTTACATGGTACAGCATACTGACCCTCTAGACACAGAGAGCACTGCATTGCAAACACAGGCAGTAGACCTAGAATAGCTGCTAAACGAGGACAATGCTATAGAAACAGGGGTCCAGGATCCAAAATATAAGTTCCATTTTAGGATTCTGGTGAACCACTTCCCGAAACAGCAGAGGAATAAGTCGTGATGTCACCCGCTGCAGTTGGATTGTCCTCTGAGAGTCTTAACAGATATATGTTGCACCAAATCACAGTAGACCACTATACCCAAAAAAAATCAATGCCCTGCACACTCACAAACCAGGGGAGAAGGTGCTGGCAAGGGTCGTAGGCAACTAGAGGTGATCAAGTCACTGAAGGCAGGCATTGGAGCAAGACCGGAGACCAGTTGATCCACCATGTACTTTAAGCAGCAGTAGCAGCAAGAAGAAAGCCAAAAGGCATGAAAGGATCCTGGAGTAAGCATGTACCACACTCTCCCTGACATCACCGAGTTCCCCTTTTAAGGCACCTAACTGTTGAAATTGTGAGGTATTTCCCACTAATGCAGCCTGAATTGCTTACTAATTAAATGAGTAATTAGCAACAAGGTCACTGAATGAAGCTGTGCAGGTTACAAAAAAAAAAGGTGTATGAGAGTTACATATCGAGATATCTTAACAGCAGCAAGAGACTTCCCTACAGAGTGAGTCCTACAGAGACCAGAATATGTGCCGTTGTTCTGGAACTATAAAATGGTTTGCAACTAACAGACACAGTACACAAGGGACAAGACAGCGTGACAATGCAGCCCGCAAAGGACACATTCGTTATCTTTGCCCCATTTAAAGTTAAACTCATGGAGAAGATTTTTTAGATTGTATGCCCTCACAGGCAGGGCACTCCTTACCATCTTATCTTGAATTGTATTGTAATGTCTTCCTTACATGGTAAAGCGCTGTGCAAACTGTTGGTGCTATAAAAATCCTGTATTATAATAATAATAAAAAATAATGAGACACTGGGTCAAACCAGAGACTGAGCCATGGCTCTGTAACTAGCAAAAAGTCAGTGGGTAACTGACAAAACACAAGTGAATTGAAAGCGCCACAAAGCAGAGTTTAGTCCTTGATGGACATGTATTAGATTAGCTTTGCCCCAATCATAGGCTTACTCACAAATAGGGTTCAGAAACTGGGTCACACCAGAGGCTAACTAACACAGTATGCTAAGGTAAGAAAAGCATCACAATGCAGAGCTCAGTGCCCAAGAGCTACATACCATGATGTCTTCACCATATCCAAAGGCTTACTCATAGAGTGAGTCTTCAGATACTGGGTCACACCAGAGGCTGTTCTACATCACTGGAGCTGGAGAGCACACTGTGGTAACTAACAGTACACAAAGGTCTGGAAAGCGCCACCAGCAAAGTTCAATGCCCAAAGATCCCCTTCCAGGCAGTATCCAGGTGCTTACTCACAAAGTGAGTCTTCATAGACTGGGTCACACCAAACGCTGTGCCACAGCTCTGGACGTGAAGAGTGATCTACAGCAAACGGCTCATAAAGGTCTGGGAAGTGCCACTAGATGATCCCAGAGCCCAAATATCACATCCCAGGCTAGTCCCACAATCTTTAGTCCAGGAGGGTTAAAGTAGGACCTCCAAACCTACTGCTAAGGAAAAAGCCAATCTAGATGACTGCGTACAGAGGCCAACTCAAGCAGTATATGAAACCTCTTTATTGAATTGAAAGAAAAAACATTTACAGGAGTACCAAATAAACTGACAGGAAAAAATAAGAAAGAAAAAAATGGTGAAAACATAATATATAGTTAGGAAAAGCATGCTACCTCCTAGGACACAATCTGGGGAATTTATCAAAACTAGAGCGGACAAAATCTGGAGCAGCTGTGCATGGCAACCAATCAGCTTCTCTTTAGTTTGTTCAGTTATGATTTGAAAATAAAAGAAGCTGATTGGTTGCCATGCACAGCTGCTCCAGATATTGTCTGCTCCAGTTTTCATCAATTCCCCTAATTTTGTGTGTGCAAAATGTCTCCCTCAATGGTCGATAACAAAAATATTTTTTGTAAGACATAAATCGCCAAAAGAAAACCTTGTTCTAAAAAAATCTTAATTTTTTATCTAAAGTAATGATACAAATTATTGTCGAATAAAAAGGCCTATAGCAGAAATGTAAGAATTGCTCTGGTCCATAGGAGATGTACAGGTGTGAGAGCTGAACTGATTAAAATGTATCCTCTATGCCCCAGGCACATAGCTAAAGTGCCCTTCCAATAAGGACAGAGAATAACTGCCTTGCGAGACACCAACAAAGATGCCTCTAAGAGGCTATCATAACTGAAGTGGAAATATTAATGGTTAGAAAATTAATGGTTTGTTCTTTTGTTCACTGTGTTTAGATTATTGGACGCATTTATTGTTCACATGCACTTAGGGGGGGATGAGCCATTTTCGGTGGGTCTCTGAGGAAGTGGGAAACTTCCCCGAAACACGCATCAGCATTCTGGTCTCCTTTGACAGCCGCATGCTATTTGTCATCCAAATTGTGAGTAGCTTTTTGCATAATCATTGTACTCCATTTAAATAAAAAAAGTTTTTACACTAGGAGTGGGCGCTGTCCCCCTTTTTGTCTATTTTACATGTTGTGAGGATGCTTCCTGGTGGCCTTGAGGACGGCAGCCCCCTTCCGTTACATTGATGTGAAGATACTCCTCTATTGGGCGCTGTGTTGTACAGTATCATTTTCGGTGGGTTATTTAAAAGGAGAACTATGAGGTGAGTGATTTACACTCATCCTCATAGTTAGACCCGACGTGTGACACTTAAACTGTCATAGGTCGGCTCTATTGATCGGGAAGTGAGCTAACACATACCGTCACTCACTCACTTTCCGACAATATCCTTGCAGAGAGCGGGGACTGTCAGTCACCGCTCCCCGCAGGAATTCCCCCTCTCCGATCCTCCAGTGCTGACTGGAGGCATGGATGGGATAGGGGGTGGGCACAGCTGGCTCTGCCTCTAGATAGGCAGAGGCTGCTGTCAATCAGCCAGCTGGGTGGACCTGGACAGTATTGTCGAGAACCATCACGGCTGTGACGCTCTCAGTATATAGCTCGATATATACTGAGCAATGGGTCACAGGAGGACGTTAGTATATGTCCTCCCGTGATCCTAAAGAGAACTATGGGATAAAAAGGTTACCCCATAGCACTCTTTTAAGGTTTTTGTGTTTTCAGCGCTGCAGTTAGGATAATTGTCTAAATATATTTTAGGTATTTATAAAGCAGCTGTTTGAGGTTAGTCACGTTTTCAGGAGGTAGAGCAAACTTTGGCTTTAATTACTACCTTTTGATCTTGACAGAATTCCGGTGTCTTTGCAACATCCTGCGCACTGAACTGACATCTCAACTAATGTTCAGCTTTCCCAGCTTTCTTTCGTTAAATGGAGAACTATGAGGTAAGTGAAAATCACTCATCCTCATTGTTCGAGCCGACGTGCGACAATGAAACTGTCACACGTCAGCTCAATAGATCGGGAAGTGAGCGAACGTATACCTGCAGAGAGCAGCGACTGTCAGTCAAGGCTCCCTGCAGGGATTCCCCCCCCCTCTCTGATCCTCCAGCAATGACTGGAGGAACTGACGGGGGAGGGGGCCAGTACAGCTGGCTCTATGTGGGGGGAAAAAATCTAAGGATACAGCGCTCACTGAGGGGGGTTGAAAATGATGCTGGGTGTGCTGATTAGGTGAGCGGCTTCAGAGGCCTTCGGACCGGGGTGTCCGACTGATTGAAGAAGCAAAGAAAAAACGGAGGGAGAAGCGCCGCAACCAAA